TGTACATAGATCTATTCCCCTATTATTATATATAAATATAGTTCCATATGTACATGCTTGTATTTAGACCTTTATAAATGTCCTTTGCCTCCTAGTTCTTTCCTCTATTTCCTTTCACTTTCCTCTTGTCCCACTATCGTGTTTGGCCTTCATTCAGGTTTTAGTAATTCCTCTTGGCTACATTGACCTTGATCAGGCCCCACTAGGCATCTTATGGCCTCCTCATCATTGATTTTAGATCACTTGTTGTTCCCTTGTCCCTGAGTTGGTTGATATCCCTTTCCCTTTCCCCCAACTCCCCCTCTCCCATGTCCACCCAGGAACTGTGGTCCTATTGTTTTCTCCTCCAGATTGCTTATCCCACCTATCTTTTATTTTTAAAATCATTTTTTTTTTTGGCAGGGACATACTTTTATTTCTTTTTGGAGAAGCAATGTCTACTGCTTGGCGCTGGGCCCTAGCTGTCCCCTCCTGTGCAGGCCCGGCCTGGTCTCTCATCTGCGCCGAAGGAGAGGCAAAGGATGCCGCATGAGGAGGTGAGTCCTGTTCCCTTGCCTCTCAGACGCCCTCTGGAGAGCAGCATTCTGGCGAGGCCCTGCTGGACACGACTTCTGGTCAGGCTCCGGCTTCCTGTCCTCACAGCCTTCGTGCCTTGCGGGGGCGGCAGCCGTTGTGTGGGATGGGGGTGTTGTCTGTGATGGAGATCACCTCCAGGCCGCCCATGGCCAGCCCTTTGATAGCAGCCAGGCGCCCGGGCCCCAGGCCTTTCACCACGACTCGGACGTGGGTCACACCCTTCCCAGTAGCTTTCGCTGCCGCGGCGATACCTGTGGTCTGTGCTGCGATGCCGGTGCCCTTCTTGGCATTTCGGAAACCCTCTGTGCCACAGGATGCCCGGGCCAGTGGCTGGTGTGTGGCAGACACGACCTGAATCTGGGTGTTGTTGTAGGAGGCCTTAATGTGTGCGATTGGGGTCTCCTCAAATTTCTTTCCTGCCCACCTCAGCGAGCTCTCCTCTCCGGGAAATGGAGGGTAAATGCTGAAGCTGCCGCGGCT